AAAGAATTGTGTACCTATGTGCATGAAAAAGCACATACAAGAATGTTAACTACATCAATATTCGTATCAGCCTCCCCAACTGAGCACAAAAGTCAGACTGGCTAGAAATAAATGGTTTTATTCAAGGTTCTTAGAGTTTGTAAATCATAAACACAAGTAGTGTAATATCCAGCATATTCTGAAGAAAACCTGAGAGTTCTTATAGTAAAAAGTATGCTCTTAAGAAGAATCAGTCCCACATTCTTTTTAAAAAAAATATATTTTTATTGATTTTAGAGAGGGAGGAAGATAGAAACATCAATGATGAGAAAGAATCATTGGTCAGTGCCTCCTTACTGGGGATCAAGCCCACAAATTGGGCATGTGCCCTGACCGGGAATCGAACTGTGACCTCTTGGTTCATGATCAACCACTGACCCACACCAGCAGGGCGGGTCCTGCAAGCCCCTGGATTGGTCCAAGATGGTGATCTTAGATGACTGGTGTTCTGGACCTGTGACCATTCTTTCCTAAGTTCCTCAGGGGTAACCAGGGTTATCTATAGGACCTATTTATCTGAGGTTCAAAAGTTTAAATTTCAGGCTAGTTAAAGCAAGAGATGGTTCCTCTGCCTCAGCTACTTGATTTTAATAATTTGGCAGCTTGACTATAGTGACTCCTCTGTATTTCTTACACTCATTCCTCAACATCACAGGTTGGGAAGGCAATACAAACAAAAGCAAGAAATATAACCTGCTGTTTTCATTTACTCACTTATTCACTCAATAGATGTTCAATGAATGTTTACTAGAACTTGTCAGTCTGGCAGTAGGATGTTCTAGAATTGTTAAAACATCAGCAGTTATGAACTTTTGTCAGTGCAGGCCCAATACATTCTATTAAGTGAAGACCCAGTGGCCTTTATGACATCACTGCATGTAGGTGTTACCACTCTCATTTTTCAGACAAGACATGGGAGGTAATTCCCACAACCGCAAAATTAGAATATGGCAAAGCTGGGCTTCACACCTGGCACTCCAACTAATCACTACCTATTAGTCGCTACTAGATGCCACTGCAGCATCTGGACTTATCAAGCAAAAAAATGAAGCACTGCTGGGGGCAACAGGAAGAGTCTTTTTATTTTTATTTTTATAATGTATTTTATTGATTTTTTACAGAGAGGAAGAGAGAGGGATAGAGAGTTAGAAACATCGATGAGAGAGAATCATTGATCAGCTGCCTCTTGCACACCCCCTACTGGGGATGTGCCCGCAACCAAGGTACATGCCCTTGACCAGAACCGAACCTTTCAGTCAGAAGGCCGATCCTCTATCCACTGAGCCAAACCGGTTTTGGCCAGGAAGATTCTTTTTTGAGAACATCCAATCCTGAGAAATTATCAACTCTTCTTTAGTAATGAAGTAGGGGACCTGGAGGACAATAAATCCGGCCCATCTTAGGTTTTCACTTAATCCTCAGTGCTTGGGAAGTATCAAAGGCCCTTGGCAAACTCAGCAAGTCTCCTACCTTGGGCAGACACCCCATGAAGCCTTGCCCATAGAACTTTGACAATATTCTGAAATTCAATCATTTATAGATTTACTGATATCTGGAATGTTTCAGACAGCACTAAATATAGGATGCTATTCTGCTTTACAAGACGACATAAGTTCAAGCCAAAGGTTTCCTCCAGTCAAATTCCAGTGGATGTTTGGCTGGCACTTGCGATACTCTAAAAGCAAAGACTAGAGAACACAATTCTTGCAGTTCTGGACTAGGTCTCACATTCTAAAGAAAAATCTCCAGATCACTGTAAGGAAATGTCCACCTCAAGAATTAACCCTGATGGAAGATAAGGCTCCTTAGAATGACCATTTATTTCTACAGAAATACTAAACTTGATCAGGTTTTGTATCCCATTCAAGAATATCCTAAGTATTTTAAGGGGCGACAGTCAACATTATGAGAACAAACATATTTATCCTCTGGATTCTGAGGTGTATGGAAATGAAGTTAAAGTAACATATCACTTACCTGAGAGATGGAAGGGGGAACACAAACTAATGTTTGTGCCAGGCTTTCTATTGAACTGAAAAAAAAAAAAAAATCCAATGCTTAAGAGACAGTGATTTGATGGAAAGCTTTAACAAATGTCAATTAGTGAGCGGAAGTCTATTTTTAAATTCAGCTCTCTTCAGTAAAATTGCTAAAAATGTCCACAGGGCATGGAGATTAATGCCCATGGCTATTTTCCACTTACCATGATGTCAAAGTAGCTACTGTGTTAAGACAGATATAATACTAAAAAAAGGGCAGTTTTAGAAGCAAATATTTTTCTTTTGAAGGCAAGACAAAAAAGGTAGGCGAGGAAAGATGAGAATTACTATATGTAGGAACAATAGATTTCCTAAGTACATCAATCAGAAAAATAAGCTATTAAATCAAACCTGATTATACAGAACTTTTTATACTGATGAGACTTAAAAATACCAGATCCCAGGGAAATTAACCTGATAATTCAAATTACTCAAGATTTCTAAGTAACCTAATTTCATTAGAACTAGCAAAACCAATTCTTCCTTAGCAAGCACATTTCTTTTTGTTATTTATGAAGTTACTGCTTACTTTTCCATGTTTAGTAGTATCCTGTTCTTAAATGCAACCATGATTAAAAACAGAAAATTACAATTTTATGTAAATTAATAATTTGTCCTACTCACCTTTTAATGAATGGATGTTATACAAGAGATACAATTTTTCACCAGAATGATAAACATATAGATGCCTGTAAGGGCTATCTCCACACACATACCCTCTCTCCTCTCTAAGCCCTACAGATTTAAGAATTATTTAAGAACATTTTGATGGACAAAGATGTCTTTAGTGAACAAATATACTTTAATGTTGCTCCTTTAAATCTTTTCTATATAAAGGCACAGTGTGAATACATGTCATACTCAGATTTAGAAATAGGTATTGTATCTTGGAAACGTTTTTGCTTTTTCACAACTAGGTTCTTTCCTTCCGAATACTTATATGCTTTCTTCTGAAAATCTACATCTGACTCATCCATAGAAAGGACCTAGTTTCAGGTTAAAATGCAAACTAGAGGATGACACATGACACATGCTTCCTGGGAAGCTGGTAGGAAACTCAAGTGCAAGAATTCTACATAGAGGTAAAACCACCATGGTTTAAGACTATCTTTAAAATGCCTCCTAAACTAGTCTTAGTCACACTTTGATTCCAAGTAGCTCTGACCTTGAATTGCAGATAGGATACACATTTGAATCCCAGGAAGACAGGCTTTTCTGTGGTAAATACTGGAGGTGACTCTTCTCCCTTTTTGAAAAAAAAATACAAACCCATTTGGAACAAGACTGCCCATGGTGCTGGGCTCTTAGGTGAGGACAGTGAGAAAGATAAAGTGCACTGATCCATCACCCTTTCATTTATTTTATTTTTATTTTTTAAAAATATATTTTATTGATTTTTCACAGAGACGGAGGGAGAAGGATAGAGAGTTAGAAACATCGATGAGAGAGAAATATCAATCAGCTGCCTCTTGCACACACCCTACTGGGGATATGCCTGCAACCAAGGTACATACCCTTGACCGGAATCGAACCTGGGACCTTTCAGTCGGCAGGCTGACGCTCTATCCGCTGAGCCAAACCGGTTTCGGCCACCCTTTCATTTATGTTCCCCACACAAAATAAATGTCAGCTTCAAAAGTTAAGGGTAAGAGGTGTTTGAAGGAAGGGAAAGAGGGAATTTGGTGGATCAAAGCACATCCGCTATAAGCAATGTCTGAAAAAATTTTTCCTGTTTGTTAAAAGGAAATAATGCTGTGTCCCAAACCCCTTCAATAGATCATGCCAATTGTTACAAGTTTCCTTCATGTAGTCAAAGAAAAAGACAGTAGGAAAGACAGGATTCTCTGCACTCTCCACAATCTATGTATATAAAAGCCTAAGCGACCTTATGACTGATAGCTATGACGAGCACTGACCACTAGGAGGCAGATGCTCAATGGAGGAGCTGTCCCCTGGTGGTCAGTGCACTCCCACAGTGGGAGCACCACTCAGCTGACTAATGGGGGGCGGTGGCAACAGCAGGCACAATGGGAGTAGCAGGGTGCTTGGCCCAGGCTTAGGCTCCTTCCTGGCCGCCTGCTGCTTTGCATCCTATGACATCCCTAGGGGGATGTCAGACTGCCGGTTTTGGTCCGATTCCCACAGGCCAAGTCTCTATGGGTGGGGATCGGGTCAAAACCAGCAGTATGACATCCCCTGAGGGGTCTCAGATTGCGAGAGGGTGCAGGCCAGGCTGAGGGACCCCTCCGGTGTACAAATCTGTGCACTGGGCCTCTAGCAGTTCATATAAAAAAATGCAACAGTACTGTCAAATTTCCTCATCAGCTTCCTATGATTGGAAGTTTTAACCACAATAACTATGTATATACATTACAGACAGGCTCTATAAAACTTGGGGACTCTAAGTTTTGTTTTGCTCCTGTTACTTTGAATACAAAAGAAATAAATTATTTTTAAGACATAAATTAGAATCATTTAGAAAATCATGCAAGTTAGAGTTAGGACTGGTTCTTGTCTTTTAAAAATAATCTCAGCATTGTTCCATTTCCCTTTTTTGATTCTGCAGGTTACAAGCTTTCTGGTTGACTGAGAAGCATTACACTGTGCTCCCATTACCAACATGTTTGTTTTCCCCGTTAGTGATGAAGGTTTCTCAGCAACAGTGGCTTTATTCCCACTGTGTAGAATTGCAGCTACATTAGCTCCACATCACGTGGGGCAGTGCTCTCCTCCCGACACGGATCACCCACACACAGGTTCTCAGGCACTGCTGGGCACCTGCCCAGTCCCAGGACTGGTTGACATTGACTCAAACTGGATTAAATTTCACAAACACTCCCATACAGGTATAAGATATGTGCTTTTTTTTTTTTTTTTTTAAGATAGTCCATAAGTCTTAAAAAATATCCTCTCCAGATTAAAAAAGGTTAGTTAAAATTGTTTAATAGGAACAATCTTGGACAAGCAGAAACAGCTTTGATTGGGAGGATTATGGCAACATACAACTGGGAAGAACTCCACAGGGATGGTCAGATTGGACAGTCCGTACCTCTTCTAGAGATTCTACATTAAAAAGACGACTGATGAGACATTCTGCCCTCTCTCAAGGCACACAGCCACTTCTGAAAACTGTCAGCTTTCCACACAGGCAATGAGATTTTTTATTTACATTTAAAAATAGCTTTTTTTCTTCAGCCTAGTGGAAATGCCTAGAGACTAGTCAATGAAATCCCTCCCTAACACAGGTGCAGAACAGCTTTATTGATCTCTGGATTTGTCCAGTCATTCCGAATGTCATCGAGGTGGTTGTCAAAATCAACGAGCGTTTCATAGGACCGGCTATCCAGGAGTGACGCTGAGATCCTCTGGGCCTCTGGCCAGTCTTCACAGTAATCACTATGAGGTGAAACAGGAGAAATCAATATTTTAATGAGAAAAAAAAAAAAAAAATCTGGCTTTTCAAGAGAGTAAACAAAAAACCAGCCATACACAGAGTGGTATAAAGAAGACAATAATAAGTACCAGGAAACATGTAACTGTACATATCAACAATATAAAACGTGGTTAAACTGAGACACCCTCCAAATGATATGCTGACAAAGCTGATGGTGGATGATTCATGCTTTCTGAGTGATTACCAGTAAACCAAACCACAGGCCTGGAAAGAGTGTTTGGTTTATGGAGAGGTGCCCTGAGGTTTGGGTGGGAAGACCTTGAGTAACAATCAGATTCTCTCTGCTGTTCTGAAGTTCTATTGGCCATAGTCCCCCAGGAGCCGAGGAACACACACGATTTCCGTACGAGGGCTGGGCGCTCCTCTGGAGAATAAGCTAACTGAAAAAATACAGGAGGTTGGGACCCGCTTTTTGGTGGATCTGGGTAGCTGGAACAGGCGCAGCATACTCTGCACATAGCTCATCCTGAGGACACAGCACTCACTAGTGTGGGTCTCTGCACCGCCATTTGTTTTCATGGTGTTCGTACACATGGATCGTAGGTACCACGCAGTCCATCGTAAACTTAGTGTTGTCTACCTGCACACAAGACAAAGGACAGTTGTGAACAGAGTTAACAAAAAGTCAAGGGCCAGCACCTTTCTGGAAGTCCTTAGCCTCCTCGAGGCCCACAAGCAGAAACCCTGCCGTATAGTGTGCAAATCCTGCAAATGTGATGTGTGGAATCGTACCACAGTGTGGCCTAAGGTAAACTGTGTGCTCTTCAGGAAAAATACCATTTCATTGTTTTCTCACAAAAGTAGAGCTTTTAAACGTTTATTCTTCCCTCCCTGTTAGAATTATCTAAATTGAGATTATTTATCGGGTCTAGTAATAATTAATGTCGTTTTTAAACATTCGTTTAAAATCTTGCTTGGCGTTGACTTGTATTGACATAACCTTCAAACACGTGGTATCTACAGAACGTGTGAAGTGCAATTAACAAGTTTTGCTTGAAAAAGTTTGTGTTTGGTTTGGTTTTTGTTGCAAAACTAGGGCTAAGAAGACGGCGGATGAAGAGCATATTCGGCACTGCATGCTTTACGAGTTCCAGTTAGGAAGAAAAGCAAGTGAGGCTGCAAAAAACATCTGTAGTGCTCTTGGTCAAGATGCAGTTAGCGCCAGAAAATGCCAGCGTTGGTTTGAGAAATTTCGCGAGGGAAATTTTTCGTTAGATGACAAGAGTGGTCGAGGCCGTGTGTCCAATTTTGATCAAGAAGCTCTTCAAGCTCTTTTGGTGCAAAATCCTCAAATTACCCAACAAGAGCTTGCGACAACTTTAAATTGTTCACAAAAAACAATTTCCAATCAATTGCGTGCACTTGGCAAAGTCCAAAAGTTTGGAAAATGGGTTCCTCATGAGTTGACCGACAACAACCGTAATCAAAGAGTCACAATTTGCAGTTCGCTCCTCTCTCGTCAAAACCGTTTGCCGGTTTTAGAGCAAAATGTTACCGTAGATGAAAAATGGGTGCTGTGTGTTAATTTGAAAAGGCGGCCTCAATGGTTGGACAAAAATGAGGCTCTGCAGCCCACGCCAAAACCTGACTTGCATGCGAAAAAAGTGACGTTGTGTGTTTGGTGGAATTTTAAAGGAATTCTTCATTATGAACTTTTACCATCTAACCAAACCATTACAAGTGCAGTGTATAGTGCCCAATTGGAAAGGTTAGCCCAAGCTTTAAGAGAAAAAGAACCCGCGCTGATTAATCGGAAGAGCGTAATTCTTCACCATGATAACGCTCGGCCGCATACTGCAAGAATCACTGCTGAAAAACTGCGCCAGTTGGAATGGGAAGTTCTCCCTCAACCTGCATATTCTCCTGATATTGCCCCTTCCGATTACCATTTGTTTCATTCTTTGCAAAACTTTCTTCTTGGAAAAAAATTTAATAATGAAGAATGCCTCAAAAATGCATTGACCGAATTTTTTGCATCAAAATCACAAGAACTTTACAACAGAGGGATTAAAATGCTTCCTGAGGGTTGGGCACAAGTAGTAGAAAACAACGGCAACTATCAATATATTGTTGATTAAATTTTGTTGTATTGTTTAAATAAATTCGATTTAAAAAAGTATTAGAAAACGACATTAATTATTACTAGACCTAATAAAAAGGCTCTGTTAGCTACCTATCGATCTGATTCCTTCCTCCCTTCTTTCCCTATAGGCTATGCTGGCTATTCTAATGGAATGGTTCTCACACTTGAGGGTGCATCAGAATCAACTGGAAGCATATTAAAACACAGACTGCTGGGCCCCAAGAATCTGCATTTCTAACAAGTTCCCAACTGGTGCTGATACTACGGGCATGGAGTGGGGGTCCCACTTTGAGAAACGAATCCCCTCTTCTGGAGACTTGTTTTTGCGACTGCAAAAAAGGTGGCAACGGTCTGAAGTATCTGCAGAAAGACAGACTGCTTATCCAACAAAGCTCTAGGTTAGCAAGGAAATGCTCAGTAGCCAGCCTTCAAATAGAAAACACAACAGGCAATGAAGTGACTTACCATGATGAGAGCTGTATCGCTGAAGCCCTCGGCAATTCTGGAGGCCACTTTCTCCGCAACCTGGTTTGGACTGCAAAAGAAGAACTAGTGAGTTTGCCACATTCTGGTTAATGCCACTCAACACTGTCTACCTACAGCATAGTTAACAAGCAATGACAAAAGACCAGAGGTCCAGCTGCAGCGACTTGTGCCAAGCACAGGGAATGCTGTAAGGCACATGTGTCAAACACAAGGCCCGAGGGCCAAATCCGTCCCGCCAGGCCTTGCAATGTGGCCCGCACTACGCTGTCATCACTGCACTCCGCTGCGTTTCCATCACAATGACAGTTTATGACTGTTCAGTAAACCATTCGGCCCGCGATTTAGGCTGGATTTTAGATTTTGGCCCCTTCTCTGATTGAGTTCGACACCCCTACTGTAAGGGCAATGGGAGCCCAGAGCAAAGCAGGCTCTGTCCTATCCCACCAGGAAGCCCTTGTGAAGGGGATCCTGAGAAGGCATCTTCTAAACAGAAAGGCTCCCTGGAACCCAGTGGAGAGCGCTGCCAAGGTAACATCCCTGGTTACCCATACACAGTTATTTTTCTATCCCATTTTAGGAAGAGGCCTCTTCCACCTATGGTCTATCCATTCTGACCCCCTCCTCCAGGCCTTATTTATATTCTGTTGCCCAGCCAGGATGCTCAGTGGCTGAACATCAACCCATAAGCCAAGAGGTCACCGGTTCAATTCCCGGTCTGTTGTGGGCACCATCTCTGGTAGGGGGTTATACACTGATCGACATTTCTCTCATGGATGTTTCTCTCTAAAATCCCTCTCCCTGCCCTTCTCTCTAAAATCAATAAAAACTAATTTAAAAAATTTACATATATGTTCTGTTAACTGTGACAGCTTTGCTGTCAAATCTGAATAAGTCTTTTCCTATTTAGGATAAAAAATATTTAACTGGTTCCCTCTAGCTACTGTCTAAACTCTCTCCTCCCTTTCAACCACATTCCTATTTTTAAAATTTTCTGTTAATTCTCAGATGATATTTTTTCCCCATTGATTTTTAGAGAGAGTGAGTGAGAAACACGGATGTGATGCCTGAGGATCAAACCTGCAACCCAGGTACATGGCCTTGATCAGGAATGGAACTTGCAACCGTTCAGTGCATAGGCCAACACCCTAACCACTGAGCACACCACCCAGGGCTCGATCTCATTTCTTTCTCCCCATCCCCCCACTGGAGAACATCAAAGTTTAATACCTGCGCATGGGGAATTCACATAGGCATGAAAACTTCCCCCAAACAGGCACAGTTTGTTGTGTATGTCAGAAGTTTGGACAAAGAATGGCGTATTAGATTTCAGAAGTGAGGAGGAGGGTTTCCACAAGTTGAGGAAGAGCTGCACACACGTCAGGAAAATCCCCCTGGCTGACTCAGAAACAGTGGGACCTGGGGTGTCTGGCTACCAGGCATCCGCCGGAAGCCCAGTCTACTTGAACACTTAATTCAGATTGGGCGAAGGTGACATCCTAAGATCTTCCAGAAGCAGGTCTTTATGAATCTCTTGGGCAGGAAAGGGGAGGAGAGTTCAAAAGTTCTGAGTCTTTTGTTTCTCAATAAGCAGCTTAAAATCAATATCCCAAAAGCAGCTTCACCGTGGCAAAAATTTGGTTCCCTTCAGTTGCATTCCAGTGTTAGAACTTATCACGTGAGAATGAAACAGTCCCTATTTTTGCTTCATCAGGGTCCCCCAAAAGCAATTTAATAAATCCATGTAGGGAGCCCAAATGCCACCAGCTGTCTCCTGCAAGACTGTCCCAAGGTCCCTTGTCCATGTTGACCCCAAGGCAGAAGCACCCCATTTCTCTTAAAATCCATTTTCCTCTCTCTGGGTAGCTTCCCTTTTCCCAGCATTTGGTCACTGATGCCTATGACTGTGGGATCATCTAGGAAAATGCTTCTTAGGCACCAAAAGTAACTCAAGCACGTTTCTGAATTGTTTCATATGAGTCTGATATTTTTCTCATTTCTGTTGAAGAGCTGCACAAAATGACAGGCTTTTAATGGGCAGAGGGGTGAGAAAGGAAGCTTATAGCGGAAAGTTAGGGGAGCAGGGAGTCTAGGGTAGACCTCCCTATGTGCTGACGAGGAGATTCCAAACTGACTGGCTACCTCTGCATTCCTGAGAGGCCGAAGGTGCAATTAGTTTGGGTCTTAGGTATTAGGTCTAGGTTAGTGATGTGGGGCTTAGCACACACAACTCCATTGTGAGCCTGCCTTCTCTTTTCTCACACTGCCCATAGGTACAGTTCTGTTCTTTGGAGCCACTAAGTCCTTAAATAAGTGATTTTGTTTTTATGGAATAAGTTTCATTCCATCCCTACCAATCCTCCTATATAGTAAAAGGTTAATATGCAAATTGTCCCCTTGACCTGGAGTTCAACAGGTAGGGTGGGGTGGGGGTGGGGGTAGCCAACCGCCTGCAGCCCCTAACCTCAGCGGGCCCTTACATTTTAATGAGAAATTACACATCAACCCTCATCACTAAGCCCTGTACAGGTAAGGCGTTAAATCCTTCTGAAAAGTATGCATAAAGAACACCAAATTTGTAAAATTCATACATAAATTCCCAATAAAACACAACCTTTCCTTTTTGTTGGACACAACTCCCATCCTCCAGTTTTATTTTTATTTTTTTTAATATATTTTATTGAATTTTCACAGAGAGGAAGAGAGAGGGATAGAGAGTTAGAAACATCGATGAGAGAGAATCATCGATCAGCTGCCTCTTGCACAACCCCTACTGGGGATGTGCCCGCAACCAAGGTACATGCCCTTGACCGGAATCGAACCCGGGACCTTTCAGTCCTCAGGCCGACGCTCTATCCACTGAGCCAAACCGGTCCCGGCCCATCCTCCAGTTTTAAACATCATCTCTTTTGCTCAAAAAAAGGTAAGCAGGAAGATGAGGTTTCCACAGCAATTTATTGTTCATTATTTTAACGTTTTCAAGAAGACTGTTCATATATTGAGACATCCTCAAACACTATCGCCAAAATGTTTGTTGCTTTTTTTTTTTTAAAATAACACTGATGAACAGTGGAAGCAATTTCCCTTCTTGGTGAAGCCTGTGGGTGTTGGTGGCACCTCCAATAAAAGCCCTTTGACAAATATTCTTGGCACCGAGCTCTCGCCAATCATCTTGTCAAGCGTGTCCTGAAACTGCCCTACCGTGCATGAATTTTGTGCACTGGGCCTCTAGTGACATGATATAATGAGACGATGAAAAAACTCAAGTTTAGGAAATGTCTAAACAGTTACGAACAACTTACATTTCCTTTTTAAAATAATGAAACACTGAATGATTCTTTTTTGATAAAAGTAATCATAGGGCTATTAATAGTGCCAGTTCCGACTTTGAACCAAGAACAAAACTAAAATGCTGCTTGTTCCTTCACTATCCTTGCAAGCACTCACTGAGGTACAAGCTTTTAGCTCCATTTACAGATAGGACCACCAAGGTCAAGGAGGTGAATCAGTAAGCCACTTAGAATTTGAACCCAAGTTCCCTGGCTTATTCTGAGAGACAGTTAATCAGCTGAGATTTCTAAAAGAAGAGCACATTTTTAGCTAGGTATGGATGAAGAGAGAAGGAAAGATTTTCAGGTAGATGCAAATAGTGCTGAAGAAGGAAGTTGCTATATCTCAGCTCCTAAGCTTCCAAGCATGTGGCCTTTGTGCAGGGACTGTCTCTGGCTGGAGTTTCTTCACCTGAGCATCCTTGTGAGGAATACATAGGACAATGCCAGTAAAGCCCCTGGCTGGGTACAGAGTAGGGACTCCTAACACAATACCAGCTTGTGGGAGGGATGGATGAAATGCTGAGGCAGAGCAGACTCACCAGAAAGAACTAAAGAGCTATGGCACACTTCTGCACTCCCTCCCCTTGCTAATGTTTAATTTTCTCTATGCATCTGAGAAATGGCTGGTTGGTAGGTACTTAAACATCAACATCAATGGGGGAATACAAAATCTCCTGAGCAGAGCAGGTGAAGGAACCAGGCATAAAACAGCATGAAAATGGTGCCTGAGTAAGGTATTACTGGGTTGGGCTAAAAAATAAGGTCTGAATAGAGGCAAGAAGATGAGAGGCCATGAGCCAAAGGAGGCATATGGATGAGAGACCCTTTGCAGGCACACTAGGGATGATCACATAAAGTATGGGTTTGGGGGCCGGCATAGGAAGGCATCTACAGTCACCTGACAAGCCAAGTGCCCTTATCTCTTGACTAGTTTCCTTTCCTTTCTTCAATTATAGCTGTGGATTGCCCTAGTCAGTTTGGCTATGTGGTAGAATGCCTGCCTGTGGACTGAAGGGTACCAGGTTCAATTCCAGTCAAGGGCACATGTCCAGGTTGCGGGCTTAATCCTCAGTGGGGGACATGCAGGAGATAGCCAATTAATGGTTCTCATCATTGGTATTTCTCTCTCCCTCTCCCTCTCTGAAATCAATAAAATATATTATATATGAGAAATAGAATAGCTGTGGGAAAGAAATGCTTGGTTCAGGAAAACCCTCCTTTTAAGGACAGCTCTCTACTGCTTATACAATAAAGTTCAAAATATTTTAAAGTTCTGTGTATGGCCTCACCTACCTTTCCAGACTCCCTTGCTACCATTTTCTCTGTGTGTGCACCTCTGTGTGTCCCTACCCCCTTTCCCAGCTGATGTCTTCATCATGTTGTCCCCTCTTGGAATGCTGTCCCCTCATGGTCCCTACTTGACAAGATGCTGTCCACTCTTGAATGCCCAGTTCAAATGACTCCCTTTCCTGAGGGTTTTTCTGGTCATACCAACAGATGCAGTTTCTCCCTGCTCTGGCTATTACAGCCTTCTGCATCACCCTCATGGCAATCGGCCTATTGCTTTGTGTTAGTCTTATGTTGGCAATATCTTTCATATTCAACCCAGCAACCTGCAGGCAAGGGCAGAGTCTTTAGCTTTGCTTATCACAGAGCTTGGCTGCTCAGGGCAGGCACTCCATGCCAACTCAAAGACCAAGCCTGACAGGGCCCAATGAATAGGCTTTAGATCAGAGATGGGAATGCACTGAATCATCAATACATGGAAAGTGGATAGAATAAAATGGAGAAGAGTTCTAGAAGGAGGGAATAAGTAAAAGATGCAACTGAGGAGAAATGAGTGGTGCTCTTGGGCTCAGAGAGTGCCTAAGTGCTATCATCCCAGGGGAGGCTTCAATAGTTGTTTTGAGCCTAGAGTTTCCCTTGTTACTCTGACTCACTCAGAATCCCTACCAGACCCAGTCCTCCAAGGATAAGAGGGTTTAAGTCTCTGAAGTGCATTTGTATCTCATCAGTGATAGCAATAGTGGTCACCAGCTTGTTATATTATTTCCAAAAATGCTATTGAGTCCAACCTCTCGCCTATCCTGGCAAGTGGACATAATTCCAGGAGTTTAGGTCTAAGGTCTTCACTGCATCTGCTAACTGCCTCGACACTGGAGTCAGTCACTGTGAGGACAGTGTCAATGCCTCCCATTATATACTGTGTTCCTGGCTTCCCATGTAGCCAGTCTCCTGGCTGGAGGAACTCAGGGGGGTGGTGTGTGTGTGTCAGGGCATGACTCATTCTTCTGGTGAGGACACCTCAGGCCGGCTGCTGGCCATGTCCTTCAAACAAAGGGCATTGTTCTTCTTGACTTCTTTTACCTTCCTTCCTTCCCTCTTTTTTTAAAAAAAATTAAATATGTGATTTATTAATTTTAGAGAGAGCGGAAGGGAAAAGGATATATTAGAAACATTGATGTGAGAGGAAAACAATGATCGGCTGCCTCCTGCAACCCCCTGTGGAGGATCAAGCATATGCCCAGACTGGGAATTGAATTGGTGACCTCTTTGTTGTTTTGTTAATCTTTAGTAAGTATATTTTTTTCCCATTGATTTTTAGAAGAGCGGTGGAAGGGAACGAGTAAATGTGTGTGTATTGGGCGAAGAGGGAGGGGGAGAAAGAGAGAGAGAGAGAGAGAGAGAGAGAGAGAGAGAGAGAGACAGACATTGAGACACATGATTTGCCTCCCAACCAGGGCTGGGGGTGGAACCTGCAACCCAGGTATGTGCCTTTGATTGGGAACGAACCCTTTTGGTGTGCAGGCTGATGCTCTAACCATTGGGAAACACTGGCTGGGCAGACTTCTTTTTTCTTAATTTTTTTTTTTTTGTATTACCATCTCTATATATAAAAGCCTAAGAGACCAAACAACCGATGTCCAATTGACAGGTCACTATGATGTGCATTGACCACCAGGGGACAGACACTCAATGTACAGGATCAGGTTCCTTCCTATCTGGATCGGGACTGCAGGGATCGGGCTCCCTTCCTGTCTGGATCAGGCGTGTAGGGATCAGGCCAAAACTGGCTCTCTGACATCCCCTAAGGGGTCCCAGATTGCAAGAGGAAGCAGGCCAGGCTGAGGGACCCCACTGGTACCCAAATCTGTGCACTGGGCCTCTAGTTGACATATAATATTGTATTAGATTCAGGTTACAACATTGTGATTGGGCATTTATATAACTTATGAAGTGATCAACCCATAAGTCAAGTAGTCAGCTGACACCACACACCTATATATTTAAACGCCTAAGCGACCGAACGACCAGTCCTTATGACGCGTACTGACCACCAGGAGGCAGATGCTCAACCCAGGAGCTGCCCCCTGGTGGTCAGTGGGTTTCCATAGCCAAGCTCCTGCAGCTGGCCAACCTCCCACGTCCCTCCCCCATCCGCTGCCAGTCGGCCCTGATCAGCAGGCCAAGGGACCCCACCTGTGTACCATTTGTGTGCTGGGCCTCTAGTACTTATTCTAATAGTGTGGACTTACATTCCCTATGCTGTACTTTATATCCCTGTGACTGTTTTTATAACTGGAAATTTGTACATCTTAATCCCTTCCTGAAATGGACTCATTTACTCAACTTTCCTCCTTGTCCTATCAGGCCCAGGTATGGTATTGGCTTTTGTCACCAGCTTCCGGTTACTACACTATTCTCTTGTGAGATCTCTTACATACCTCCCACACCTTTGGAAATAATCTGCTTATTAAGCCCTCAAATTATCCTAATTTTAGTGTGTTATCTGTTTCTCTGTTGGGATTGATACTGAGGCAAAAATAGAGCAGAGTTCTCTGTTTTGCTCCTAGGAGCCAATACAAAGGAAGCAGCACACACCATATTTTCATCATAGTATCAGACCCTTAGAGCACCAAATCGAAAAGTTTTTTATTTATTCCAAAAGAGAGTGTATTCTTTCCTAATGCTCTGTCCAACACCACTCCTAGTTTGGGAATGGGAAGCAAGGCAGAGCTGAGTGGGGACAGCAATTGGAGGTCCTTGACCATTGCTTTCATTGCATGAATTTTCTTCAAGCAAAATAAAGATGATACAAAACAGAAACCCAAAGTTAATATAAATGTTTAGACTTTCTGTTGTTTAGAATTATCCACCCCACAGTTCCCCTCAAATACTATAAACAAGCACAGAGCGCGAGGAGGGGCTTTGTTTTCACAGATTTCGCATCTCAAGCCTATACAAGATCAAAAAACACATCAGAGATGTCTTTGTCTGTCACACGATCATTCTTTCAGACCACAGAGAATTTTTGTATGAACATACCTGGCATCCTTTACTCGTTCATTAGCTTGATAATAACCAGCAATCACATAGCTATTATCTTTGCACCATGAATCAATCTGAAAGAGGAACAAAAATTGGGAAGAAAAGATAAATAATTTTCCCTTAAGTATAAGTCTTAATAAACACAGGAGACTTCTCCCTTCCAAATACTGAGACAAGACACCATATAAACCTGTATCCTTCTCCCTGGAAGAAGGGCTACAATAAATGAAATGGGTGTTCACAGAAAAAATTCCAATCTGCTTTCCACAGGCCAGAGAGAGCAAGGAGAGCGTGGGCCCCTCACTCTCATTGAGGTGGTATGTCTTCCCGTTAATGGCCAGAAGGGGTGGGGCTAGACATGAGGAATGACCTTCCCATCAAGTCCCTTCAGAAGGCCCCAATGTTCAGACATATTAAACAGGTAAGGTGCTGTGGGGAGGTGGGGTAGAGGAGACCATCTTTACCCACCTTCTCTTACAATATAAAGAACTGAGGCATTCTGGGGCGTGAAAAATACTTAAGATCATTTAAATCAATCGTTCACAGATAAGCAATTTAAAGCTCAGAAATTCCAAGTTTGCGTAAGTCTCTTTTGAAACCAAGTCTTTTTGTATCATGCACAGGTGGGCAGATGCAGGCAGAAATGCCCCCGTGCGGGGGCACACACACACTCTCAATTCCATGTGGCATGCTTTTAAATGGGAACATGGTGGCTGACTTTGAAAGTTATTTTGTCCGTTTTTTAATGCCACTCTTCTCTCATCAGATTTAGCTTCCTGCAGGTCTAATGCTATTATTAAAAACAAAAGGTCATTCTGTTTTGCCATAATGGAATTTTAATAATATACTGCAATAAATTCTATTCTCAGTCTGCAGAAGAAAAATTGATTCTTGTGTTTTTCACAGTGAATTAACTGGTTAAAATGTTTTTTCCTTTTCATTTTTTTGTTTAATATAGTCCTATGGCTCTTTTTCTTGAATTCTGGTTTGGACCTCAGTCTCCTTTATGTCTAAAAGCAGACATTACAAGACGGTTACAGTTCAAGGTTCCCTGGCTAACAGGAGGATTAGAATAATTCTGGCCTCCTAAGAGCTCATGAATTACCATATTGGGTCAAAACCAAGGCTTATTGAACCAATTAGATATTTTGGCCATCCACCCAAAAGATTAGGGCTGTGTCTCCAAAATATTTGTAATGGCCCTTTCACTGTAACTTTGCTGCAAATGACTCCAAAATTATCTATACAGTATTTTGTTCTTTCACCCCTTAAAGAAATGGCTTCTAGAAACTTTCCATTGCTGTTTATAGCAGCAATATCTTTCATTAACACACACACACACACACATACACACACACACACACACACACACCCCTCTGTGTAGCACCAAAGGGTAGATTCTAGCTTTAAAATGTGGCACCTGACCCCCCTTCCCTGTACTCGGACCCATTAGATTAGTCACCCCTTTAATGTAACCTTCCCAGCCTTTGTTTCTCATCAAAAGACCACCCTCTTGATTGTGTCCTCACTCAAAGTGGCCTTCATCTCTGCCCACTTTGGTGTCCCTCTCCCTGCCCTCTGATATGGGTTTGTCCTTATATTCTGAGTAAGAACTAGTGATGTGTTCCAACTTTGGCTACTGTATTAGTTTCCTATTGCCCTTGTAACAAGTTACACAAGCTTAGAGGATTAACATGGCACAGACTTATTATTTTATAGGTCAGAAGTCTACAGTGGCTCTACAGGGGAATGCTACCCTTTCTAGCATCTAAAGGTCATCCATACTCCTTAACTAGTGGCTGCATCACTGTGACCTCTGCTTCTCATCTTTGAGTGAATTTTTGGTTCTGTCTTTTAAGAACCCTATACTAGATTCATCAGATAATCCAGGATAATCTCTCCATCTCAAAACCTGTAATCTTCATCTGCCAAGTAACATATTCATAGGTTCTAGGGAGTAGAATGTGGACATTTTGGGGGGATATTTTTGGGCTGATCACAGCTACTTTTAAAAGTGATTTTAGAGAGAGGAAGAGAGAAGAAAAAAGAGAAAGATACATTGATGGGAGAGAAACATAGACTGGCTGTGTCCTACATGGCCCCTGACCAAGAATCAAACCAGTGACATTTTGGTGCATGGGATGATGCTCAATCCACTGAGTCACACCAGCTACTTTTATATAAGGATAAGATAATTATTTGCTACTGGTGATGTCCTGACCATCCCCAGCTGCAGTTTTTAGTGAGCAGTCTAAGCTGCTATTAGAACCCTTTCCTGGGATGAAGGCAAGGGTACAGGACTCCTCAGCAAACACACTGCACACCGTGACTTACACTTTAGCTGACAAGGGCAAATTCCTGTAGGAAGAACCTCAAGGGCCTAGCCAAATTCCAGCATAAAAATGTCATGACCCTGAACTTCTAGAAGAACTCTGAATAGGCTACTCTAAAAGTGAACCTGATCACAAAGCTCTGCTTGGTTTTAGAAACTTTTAAGTGATTTAAACAAGAATAACCAAGTTAACTGTATGCAGCTGTCCAGATATAGACACAATTGGCCACCAAATGAGGAATGGAGAACAAAAAGTCAGAAATGCAGGACTAAGGCCTGCCATCAGCTACCAGAGCCCACAGAGGTAGGGTGAACAAGCTCCCCCCGCCCCCCTTTTAAAAAAATCTTCACCTGTGGACATGCTTAGGGAGAGGAAAGGAGGGGGAGGGAAAGAGAGAGGGGAGTGAGCCAAAACCGGTTTGGCTCAGTGGATAGAGCGTCGGCTTGGGGACTGAAGGGACCTGGGTTCGATTCCGGTCAAGGGCATGTACCTTGGTTGCGGGCATATCCCCAGTAGGGGGTGTGCAAGAGGCAGCTGATCGATGACTCTCACTGATGTTTCTAACTCTCTCTCTCCCTTCCTCTCTGTACAAAATCAATAAAATATATTAAAAAACAAAACAAAAACCAAACTTTCTTATTTAAAAAAAAAAAAAAAGAGAGAGAGAGAGAGAGAGGGGAGTGGAGGGGAAGAGGAAGAGAGAGAAATATCAATTGATTGCATTCCATAAGTGTCCCAATTGGAGTCTGAACCTGCAACCCAGATATATGCCCTGACCAGGAATCAAACTGGTAACCTTTCGGTGCCCAGGATGAAGCTTAACCACTTGAGCCACTCTATCCTGATAACAGGTTTTAATAAGGAAGAGTTTTCTTTGATAGTCTTGAAAATGGAACCAGATATTAGGTGATTGTGAAGTAATAGTCAGTGTGTGGAAGATGAACAGTGTGGGCAGTGGTTGGGGTAGGAATGGGGCAGGCAGGGCCTCCAGAATATTGCAGTAAGTCCAACATAATGGCTCATTAATAAAAATCCTAGTGGATTTAAGCGGTAACTTGCTTCCTCCCAAGTGGGGCGGGGTAAGGTAAAAGAGCTGAGGAGCGGTTTGACCTTTGATCTCGGTGAACCGGTTCTGTTTCCATTTTCCTTCCCTTGCTGCTATAATTCCCTACTTCTGTCATGCATTTTGTGAATAACCAAAATGAAAATAAAAGTTCATATGACACCCTGAAACCTGATGTCAACTTAGTAAAACTGACTCTGAATACAAGAGTCCCAATTCTGTATTTATTCATGTAGTTTCTTTTATTTTTCAGAGAGAAAGGACACCTTAGCTTTGGCATAAGCCTGATACCCTCTCTAGTCAATGCAATTTTTGGCTCATTCCAGCCCAGGCACTAGAACTACTAAAGGCACTGGGTTCAACTCATTCATTCCCAATTAGACACAGCACAACATAGCTTCACTCAGCAAACTTGCTAATATTTGCATATGTGAGGCACATTACAATTTTCAAAGCACTGTCACCTACCTCTCATGACTATATAACAGACATAACGTAGGCAAGACAGGGCACTGATAAAGGGCAACTCTGAGGAGGGCTTGCCACTTACACGTTGAGGTTGGCTGTGGCAACAAGCAGATGTTGGTGGCTAAACTTAGAGGGGTTGTTCATTTCCTTGAGAATAAAAGCTCTTTCTTAAGTGGGATGCTGAGTTTTCTGTGGAATAGAGAGTAGCTGGCTCCATAAAAGAGGTCTGGAGGTAAATGGGGTGGGACAGAGGGAGAAGTCAGGTGGAAGAACTGAAAGGAAGACCCAGAGTAAACATCTCCCTCTCCCAAGCTAGCACATGAATGTTCTGGAAATAAACAAGGGGCAGAAGGAAATAGGAGGCTTAGGAAAGGGCCAGAGGATAGCAGCTCCTGCAAATGAGCCCAGAGAAGGCACACATGGAAGCAACAGGAAGAATTCAGGCCAATTGGCAAATAAGAAAATCATCCGAGCAGAATGTAATCAAGGGCTGCTGAGAGTCTGGAGTGCAGAGTGTAATGACAAGAGTGAGAAAGGTTAGAAAGAGGAATTCTTTCCCTCTTAGCAGTGGGCCCATCTTAATAGTCAAGATCTCCTCTGGGCATCTTCTTGACCAGGTAAGTGGTATGGCAAGCAGCCCTGCTTCATCGGGAAAATTCATGCAACGGTGACTCAAATGCAGATGTTTTATAGTTAGTATATATATTTTATTCTCTCAAATGTTGCACTCATATCTTGTCATCCTATATAATAAAAGGGTAAAATATGCAAATTGACCCTAATGGCAGAACGACCAGAACAACCTTTGAACCAGTCACTATGAGACGCATTGACCATCTCTTGGTTCCTTCCCCAGGCCTCAGGCACTGATCACCTGATAGCAAATGGAGAGCGATGGTGGGCGATGGCAGGGGTGGGGACAGCTGCAGGCAGCTGGGAAAGATGGCCCTGATTGCAGGCCAGCCTAGCAACCATATTTGCACACAAATTTCGTGTTTCAGGCCTCTAGTAGGGACATAACTCTTTAACTCTGTAATATTTTTTAATACTAATTCCCAGTGAAGTTCAAGTCTGTCTCTATCTATGTATTTCTGACAGGATTGTATATGGATTTAAAGCAATACTCCTTTTCCTCCTACCGCTCTGGCTACTCAACTACCCTGTGACTCCTGTTCTTCCAGTCACCCTGAAAAAGATATAGTTCCTCTGGCTTCTGTTCAGAGCTCTCCTCATTCTATACACAGTCCTGGCCAACATGACCTGCTCTCACTTCTTCAAAAGTCTTTGAGAAGCTATTGGTCCCCAATCTATGTCTCCAGCCCTTCCATCTCCTGAGCTCCAGACGCATTTAACTTCAACACTAGGTTGTCTTCACGTTCCCTCAATGAAAGGCAACACTGTCCTCTCAATGCATAACTCAGAAACTGAGGATTCCCACTTGCTTCCTTTTCCCTATGTCCACATTCCATTAGTCACCAAGTCCTGTGGATTTTTCCTCCTGGCTCCCCCTGACCCTTCTCTGCATTCACACTGCCTCTAGTCTTATATGTACTCCTGTCTCCAACATTCTCTCTCTCTCAAATATATTTTTATTGATTTCAGAGAGGAAGGGAGAGGGAGAGATAGAAACATCAATGATGAAAGAGAATCATTAGTCAGCTGCCTCCTGGAGCCTGCAACCTGGTCATGTGCCCTTGATTGGAATAGAACCTGGGACCCTCAGTCCACAGGCAGATGCTCTATCCATTGAGCCAAACCAGCAAGAACCCCAACATTCTCTTGCTGTAGGCTAGAGGATTCCCTGTCCTCATAAAGGTGCCCAATTTCTTTTGTGTGATCTACAAGATCTCTACAATGATATCTGTCCACTGTTCACCTCTTTACCCTTGGCCCCTTTTGCACATGCTGGTTCCTCTGCCTTGAATGTTCTCCCTCTACTCCCTGGGTTATTATGGCTGGCCCACTGGGCTACTATTTGCATGTTTCTTTCTTTGAGCAGCCTGCCTTTCCTAACTCTGTAAGCCTTGGTTAGCTGACTTTTCTCTTGGACCCCTCCCCATTTTCTTCTTAACCCTACATATCACACTTATTCTTCAGCACTGTGCTTGTCTGCTTGGCACAAGTTCAACTGCTAAGCAGGTACTGTGTTTGATATACAGCTGAATCCCTCCATTCCAGTTCCTGGTACTGTTGGAGAAATAAGTAATTCTGCATTAATGCAACTAGTAAATCTAATTCTCTGCAAGTGAATACACTACACATCCAAGCAGCCTGCAATTCCCTTGATGACAGAATAATTAAGATAGTTGGTTAAAAAGACTTGTATTAAAATATACACACGTATACCCCAGTGATGTTTTGGTAATTATCAGTACATTTCTTCAGAAGCTACAATGGTTGCTTTTATAAATATCATCTATTTCTTTTCTATCTCCTGCTTAGAGATGCTATGAAGAAATTCACACAATGACTCAATCTAATAGGCACTCAAAGGCATGCCCAGTGAGCATGAGCCAGGACCATTTGCCCAAAGGTACTTCCTGCTTACCAATTCACATGGGTGTCATAATCAGGTAAATTGTGAAAAGGATTTATTTTACTTGGTGGGATGTATGGAGATAGGATTTCTATCTATGCCTTCTCAAATTTAACTACTTTTTTCAAGAATTAAATACGTTTTTTGGTTATAGTTTATTTTTTTAAAATATATATATTTTTTATTGATTTTGTACAGAGAGGAAGGGAGAGAGATAGAGTTAGAAACATCGATGAGAGTGAGTCATCGATCAGCTGCCTCTTGCATACCCCCCACTGGGGATATGCCCACAACCAAGGCACATGCCCTTGACCGGAATCGAACCTGGGACCCTTCAGTCCCCAAGCCGACGCTCTATCCATTGAGCCAAACCGGTTTCGGCTGTTAAAGTTTATTATACTTAAAAGTACACAGTATTTCAGCTCAGGAACTGAGGCAGGTCTGAGGCTAGTTTATTTCTCTAAGGTTTTAACAACTCACCGGAATTTATAGGTGGTCTTTTCCCCCTTATTAATCACGATAACACAAAAACTATTGCCTATAATTCAATTACCACCCAGTTTATCCGTAGTCCAAGGTCTTCCCCACTGTGCTTCAATAAAGCAGTCATTTTAAGACACATAAAAGTGTGGTGGATAGAATGTACCACTGCCTCCGGCTTTTTAATCTTACAAAGTCTTGAGCTCTTAAAACCAGGGCAGCAAGCTAGATAAGTCACAAACGGGAAGAGATAAAATTTATTATATCTTAACATTGCCCACACACACTCAAGGGGGGCAGTGCTGTGATGCCATTGCCACCTCTCTAACGTGTCCTACTGGGGGATTCCGGAGTGCCAACATCCAAAGAACCACAGCGTTTGTACCCACGTCAGACAGGGAGCCGGCTCGGTGAAGGCGCGCTCGAACCAAACTCCAGCGTGTAGGCGTCAGAACACCAACCCTCCCCGCGACTCCAAATCCCAAATGTCAACGCCTTCGAACCATTACCCAGTTAACGACAGCTTGTTTCTATAAAGGCTTCGGTTTTGAGGAAATGAATGTGTTATTCGTTGCCTAAAGCGCCTTTAAAAACACCCACGACGGTTAGGGTGGCTCCTGGGACCACTGCTACCACAAGCTGCCATCTGCGGGGCAGAGTCTAAGGGCCGGGCAAAGATCTCCGCGCTCTCGCGGGTCCTCGCCTCCGCCACCGTCACGGCGACCTCAGAGGGAGGTTCCCGATCCCGCCGGACGCCTGTCAGCCTCCAGCAGGGCCTGCGTGGCAGTCTCCGAGGGGCGGCCAGGAGCCGTTTCCACGCTTACCAGGGTGAGCGCCACCTCCAGCATTGGGGCGAGGGCCAGGGTGCCATGGAACAAGGGAATACAGTCCACGAAGAGTGTGTGTTGGGCGGCCGGGCCGCCGAAGGGCAAGTGCTCCTTGCGCGGCTTCTGCTTCTCAGCCACCAGCAGTCCATTGACGGCGCAGTGCGGGTACTTGGCTCCGTGAAGCACCATCTTGCAGTAGGCCTGGGTGGTCAGCTTCACCCCGGGCATGCTGAGCCCGGGTCGGCCCCGGAGGCCCTGGGCGCAGGCTGAGGCCTGGGTCCGCTGCCCGGCCGCGCGACGCCTCAGCGGAGAAGTGGGACGAGGCGGCAACTGCTTTCCGCGGCCCGGCCACTGGCGGAGGCCCCCCGCAGGCTCACCCACACTTTGGGCTGAGATCCCCTGGACATCGACTCCGGCACGAGGAAGTCGACTCGCGTGCCTCAGACTCTACTCCCGCAACTAGCCGGGCGCCGCCGGAAAGCGGTCCCTCGGCGCCCGCCGTAAAGCAGCCCAGCCCGGCGTTTTACGACGTTCGCGGCTTTTCGGCTTTTCCCTCCTTCCTCTTCAGTGACCTCTAGCGCTGCCGGGCGCCGGGTGGAGTCTTCCGCGATCCCGTGGTGCTCTGCGGCACAGCCTCGCTCTCTTCCGGTCGCGAGCAACCGGGGTGTAGAGGGCGGTCGCAGCGGGCGCGGTGGGCTGCAGCTGGACGGCGGCAGGTGAGGCGAGCGTTGGCCGGCCCGCGCCGTTGGGAAGCCGGGGAGGGTCGGGGTCGGAAGCCATTGGGCCTGAATGCCCGCGGCTCGGCGCCAGTAGGAAGCGGTGCTGGGCCCTCAGACCCGTTGACATTGAGGCCGGATTCCGAGGGACCGCTTTCCCTCAGACTTAAGGGCCCGCCGGGTCGCGGCCTAGGTGCGGCTCTGAAGCCTTCGTCCGGCTCCTCCCGCCTTGCCCTGACCGCGCTCTGGCTTTGGGCTCTGACCTTGGAGCGCCCGCTAGTCGAGGGAGCGGACATTAAGGGCAGGTCGCCTGCTGGCCTTCCTGGAGCGGCCTGGGGCCTGCGTTGCAGCCTCTGCTCTGATCCTTTCAGACGATGTCTGCACGATCTCCCCGGGTTTAACGGGGCTCGGGTGGAGACGCTCCGCTTCCCCGTCTGGAAGGCGTCCAGCGTCCACCGACACGCGGGCCTGGCAGTGTGGGGGAGATATAAGCGATTCTGGAGGAAGTTCGGCTCTGACGTCATGCTTCTGTTTATTCGGCCCCAGTTGGGGTCTTTTCTGAAAGTGTTGGAGAGCCTATTCATCCAATTTTATTTTATTTATTTTAAAAAAATATATTTTATATATATATATATTTTACAGAGAGAAAGAGAGGGATAGAGTTAGAAACATCGTTGAGAGAGAAACATCCATCAGCTGCCTCCTGCACACCCTCCACTGGGGATGTGCCCATAACCTTTGTACATGCCCTTGATCGGATTTGAACCGGGACCTTTCAGTCTGCAGGCCGAGGGGTTCTATCCACTGAGCCAAACCGGATTCAGCGACAGGTCCAATTTTAAAGGAATGGTAGGTAGGGGAGATAGGCCTGAATCAGGAAGGGTCCAGGTGAGGCGTGGGTCATCCAGGTCTCCCTTATCTGCAGGGATTGGAATTGAACCAGGCCCGTGTTTGCAGCCTTTCTCCCGGTTTCCCCTTCCTAAATACTAAGTGGAATGCAGCGCCAGCCACAGTTCCTGTGAGTCATTAGTTACCTTTTCCCTCGGAACAATGGAGCTCATTTTGGCACCACAGTGCTTTATTATTTCTAGCTTTTTCAGTGTCCTTATAATACTTTCTCCTTGTTTTTTAAGGAAGCCAATTTTCTACTAATTACCTGAATCTTGTATATTTTCTGGCATTTGGTTTATAATGAGATTCCATAAAGACGTGCTGACTACCAAGAAAAACCTTATCCTATGTTATTTTGTGAATTCAGGGTCAGTAATGAAGGGACCATTTATGCTGGGGAGAAGAAAACAAAAGAATTGCATTGACTTTGAAAATTCAAAGGGGGTAGGGGAGAGGGAGGAATTGTTCCTAAAGGTGTTTGTCCTCATTCATGGAGAAGGTGTACACTTTTGTCTTTCAGAATGTTGACTACCAGAGTATTCAGCCTGATTGGCAAGCGAGCAATTTCCACCTCGGCGTGTGCGCGAGCACACGGTAAGTCAACTTTACTTTTAAGCAGGCTGAGCTCATTTCATTTTGCTCTCGCTGTGTGTAAGGCCCTGTGCTGGATTTCATACACAGATGGCTAAAATCCTGGTGTTGAGGGATTTGGGGAGGGGAGGGGGGAATAAATATTTCAATTTAATAGAGGATACCTAGTTCTAGATGAAAGATTATTTGTGAATCATTGAATACTAGTCCTGAGTCTTTGCATCTACTGATGTTTTCTCCTTTTTTCCTTTTCAAGTTCAAGTTCCACCCCTTTCGAGAGTTCCTCTGAACTATACCAGATTTTAATCACCTCTCCCCCTCCAAAAAAACTTTCAATCACTTACCTTTAATACTGTTTACATTATTGGGGCATTTGAAGGGCTTCCTACCTGAGCTGGGTTTAATCTCATTTTAGTTTCAGACTAGCTACTTAAGTTTAGGAATCTGTTTTCTTACCTGAAATATATGAAAAGAGCTTAGTTCAGTGCTTGGCACATAGCAAGTTCAGTTTTACACTTATGAAGCATCTTCTTTGTACCAGACACTGTCAGGCACGGAGAATAAAACCAATATGAAACGTGGAATCTTTCCGCAAGAATGTTTGCAGCCTGGAGAGGGACAGATGCATACAGACAGTGTTTCAGTAACAGATACCCCTGAGGAGAAGCCTTTAGTCTGGCGTGGAGTTCAGAGGAAGCTTCTGGAGGAGAGGCTTTGCTGAAAGACTAGTAGGTTTAACCTCACATTCAATAGAGGAATGGCATTCTAGGCAGAGGGAAAGCAAGCAAAAGGACAAAATTCGAGTCAGCATGGCAATGTGTGTTACTGAAGAGTCAATTGCAAAGCTTGAGTGGTTGATGATGAACTTGGAAAGCAAGGTTTATGTATCTAGGGAGCAATAACTAGTAACTTCTATTAACTGAACTGCTTTATATGTGAATTTTTCTTGAAATTATGTCCTTTAATTAGTGATACTGTTGTCTTAAATTTCTCTATATTCCTTATTGCCCAGGATAACACTATGGATACAGACTCCCAAACAGATCATTTTATTAAGAGTGTTATTGAAATGTCTGTTATTATTACAAGTAAGTAATAAAGAAAAAAATCATTGTTTCATACATACAGAAAGAAACACCTTCATTAAAAGCCTAAGAGATCACTATGACAAAGATCACATTTTATTTTCATTTTGGTTTGCTGATAGTTTTTTGTTTGTTGTGTTTGTTTGAGGTATAATTTATGGAAAGTAAAATATAGATTTTGATAAGCTCACAACCACTCCATCAGGACATACATCTCCATCACCCCCCAAATTCCTTCATCTATCTTTGGTCATTCTGCTCTTTTATAAGAAGCCAACTTCTATCTCCTTATAGTGGAATTGTCGTGACTTACTCTTAGGTATTGTTTGTGGTGAGGAAGTAAGATTAAATCAGTCCCTTCTTGAAACCCTCCAGTGCCTTCTCATACCTAAAGGAAGATCTGAAGTTGGCCTCTGATCTCATTATATCATACTCAAGTAAAGAGCCCAAGCAGCCCTCCTTGTTCGCTAAAGGCTCAGCTGTCAGTGTACAGTATAGGAAAAAATTAGGTTGGTCCCTCCTGCCTCAACTCCTGAGTTGTGGGTGGTTGCCTCTAATCATCTCCTTCCATGCAAATTGTGTTTTAGAAGAGCCTTTCCTAAACACCTATTCTAAAAACGCTCCGTCGTATCACCCTGCTTTGCTCTGTTTTTCCTTAGAGCACTTACATACTGTGGGTATGTATATATGTTTGAGTCTTGTCTGTCGGTGTCTCTAGAGTGAAAGTTTTTTGAGTCCAGGGACCGTGCCTGAATTACTCATTACTGCATCTTTAGCACACAGTAGGCAGATGGAGGAAACTATAGTCCATTAAAGAAGTCAGGTTATTTACTCTATAAAGTTTTTGGTGGAGTCTTTTTTTTTTTTTTTTTAATGTATTTTATTGATTCTTTATTTTTATTTTTATTTTTTTTATAGCGAGGAAGGGAGAGGGATAGAGAGTTTGAAACATCGATCAGCTGCTTCCTGCACACCCCCTCCTGGGGATGTGCCCACAATCAAGGTACATGCCCTTGACCGGAATCGAACCTGGGACCCTTAGTTCGTAGGCCGACACTATATCCACTGAGCCAAACAGGTTAGGGCTACTCTCTTTTTTTTTTTAAATTAATCCTCACCTGAGGATATTTTTCCATTGATTTTTAGGAAGAGTGGAAGTGTAGGGGAGAGACAGAGAAACATGGATGTGAGAGAGATATCGATTGGTTGCCTCCTGCACAGGTTCCCAGCCTGCAACCGAGGTATACTAGTATGCCCTTGACCAGAATTGACCCTGGGACTTTTTAGTCTGCAGCTTATGCTCTATTGACTGAGCCAAACTGGCTAGGGCCTACTTTTTAACTTTTAATTGTATAAGTGATACATGACTATATGAACTGGTTATTCACATAAAATAGTAACACAATATGGAGTGCCATTGGTAGCTGCTGTTGTCAATTTAGATATTTGTTCGGTGACACATCTGATTGCAAGGAGAACTCAAATTCATCAGCTTTCCCAGAGGCTCAGCCAAAAGGCCATCCAGGCTGTGGTTAGAAATGACAACATTCTCTAGAATGTAAATTCTTTGTTTTGTTTTTCCCCCTCTTTTTATTTTTATTTCATTATTAATTTTTAAAAAATGTTTTTATTGATTTCAGAGAGGGTGAGGGAGAGAGAAACATCAACAATAAGACAGAATCATTGATTGGCTGCTTCCTGCATGCCCCCTACTGGGGATACATAGTGCCCTTAACTGGAATCAAACCCAGGACCCTTCAGTATGCACTGAGCCAAACCAGCTAGGGCTTTTCTCTTTCTCTTTTTTTAAATCTTACCCAAGGATATTTTTCTCATTGATTTTTTTTTTTTTTAAAGAGTGGGAGAGGGAGGGAAAGTCAGAAAAACATTGATGTGAGAGAAACACATTGATTGGCTGTCTCCTGCATGCTCTCCACCAGGTCCTGGGCTGGGGAGGAACCTGCAACTGTTATATGTGCCCTTGACCAGATTTGAACCCGGGACCCTTTTTGGTCCACAGGCATCATGATGCTCTATCCACTGAGTCAAACCCTTTTCTCTTTTTTGAGAAGGAATGTTTGGTAAGTTAACTTTTGCTTCTTGCCACCCTCCAATTGCTGGAGATCTGGCCCTAAGTTCTGAAGAGCCTCTAGCAGCCCTGAGATCACAAATTGGCCATTCTTGTTCTAGAAAATGGTATTATGCTTAGAGTGCTCCTAGGTTATGAGCATTTACATAACATAATGTTAACAACTGGGATACATTTTTTTTTTTAATATATTTTATTGATTTTTGTACAGAGAGGAAGGGAGAGAGATAGAGAGTTAGAAACATCGATGAGAGAGAGTCATCGATCAGCTGCCTCTTGCACACCCCCTACTGGGGATATGCCCGCAACCAAGGCACATGCCCTTGACCGGAATCGAACCCGGGACCCTTCAGTCCCCAAGCCGACGCTCTATCCATTGAGCCAAACCGATCTTGGCCAACTGGGATACATTCTGGCAAATGTGTTGTTAGGCAGTTTTCACAAACGTAGATGGTAGAGCCTACTGCACAGCTAGGCTGTGTGGCATAGCCTATTGCTCCCAGGCTCCAAGCCTGTGCAGCATGTCACTGAACAAAACAGCATGAGATTAAGTGAAGCACAAGAGAAAACGATGTAATCAAGAATGGTAACCTCAAGACGTATGAGGCTGCTGCCAGTGTAACATGACACACTGTTAACAGATAACTTCTAAGTAGGAAGAGGACATTATAATAATAAAAAGTACAATATAGTGAAGACATAAACCAGTAACATAGTCATTTATTAAGTACTAGAGGCCTGATGCACAAAATTCATCCCTCAGCCCTCCAATCTGGGATCCCTCAAGGGATGTTCTACTTCCTGTTTAGGCCCAATCCCGGTAGGCTATGACATCACTAGGCATATATATGTAACATATATTTATTTCAGAGAGGGAAAGAAACATCAGTGATGAGAGAATCATTGATCAGCTGCCTCCTGCATGCTCCACAGTGGGGATCTAGCCTGCACCTCTGGCATGTGCCTTACCAGGATTGAACCATGACCTCCTGATTCAGATCGACACTCAATCACTGAGCCACGCTGGCCCCGCATTAGGCGTATTTTTAATAATTCATGTGTAAGCTGAGTGCTAGTATACATCCATTATTTTTAGCTCATTCATCATTTTAATAGAATCTTAGAACTGTAAAATTGGGAAGTAATTTTAGCCATTTTCATATCAGATCCTTTTGGGTTAAGATTAAGTAAAAATATAAAAGTGATAGTCATTTGTATGACAAAGATAAGTAGAGAAATTACCAGCTTTGCTTTAGGTTGAATGTTTTATTTTACTATTGTTAACATGATTTGGGAGATTTTAACCATTGGGACTAAGCCAGTGTTCAGCAAACTCATTAGTCAACAGAGCCAAATATCAAAAGTGCAATGATTGAAATTTCTTTTGTGAGCCAGATTTTTTAAACTTATTCTTCTAATGCCACTTCTTCAGAATAGACTCGCCCAGGCCGTGGTATTTTGTGGAAAAGCCACATTCAAGGGACCAAAGTCGCATGTAGTTCGAGAGCCGCAGTTTGCTGACCACGAGACTAAGCTAATGGAAGGAGAGCATTTTTGCAGGACTTCATACCTCTAGAACAATTTGGAACATCTTGCAGATATTTGATAGAATTGAATAAAACAGCTTTTAGCAATGGGAAATCCCTAAGTAAAAGCTAAAATGGTCTTTTCTGCTGTCTGAACTTTTTCCCTATTTAATTGAGTAATACATGGGTACATGCTCACTTTAAAGAACTAAAATTTCTTCCTATTTGAGCAGAAAAACCCATTTCATCATCTCCTCTTCAATTGATAATGTCTTGAGTTTACTTTGCCACGAGGCTTCTGTGTTTATATGAATATATATACATGATTTATATTTTTAAAAAGGAAAATAAAACAACTCTGATACTGTTCTATGACTTGATGAGTACATGATTGTTTTTTCCTTTTGAACACATGGATCTTCTCTCTACTGTAGTGAGTTGTTTCCTGCTATACATATCCTCTTGATTCCCTTCCTTTGCTCATTTTCTAACATGTTCTGTAATTTACATGTCTTTTATGTTTATTGTTTGTTTCCCATTTTGAGCATGTAGTCACCAGTAGGTGGTAATCTATGCTTTGTTCACTGATGATTTCAGATTTCTAGAATCACAATTAGCACATAGCAGGTGCTCAGTAAACATTTGTTGAACAGGTGAATGAATGGTTCCTTGATACACATTTCTAAGGAGCTAACTGCATCCTCTACTGGACACAGATGTTTTTCCCCCGGATAACAAACAGTGATGCAGTAACCATCTTTTCATATGTCTTTGTTTTTCAACTTTGAATACTTCTTTTTTTGTTGTTTTTGTTAACACCCGAGAATATTTTTCCATTAATCGTTTTTTAAAAAATATATTATTATTGATTTCAGAGAGGAAGGGAGAGGGAGAGAGAGAGAGAGATAGGAACATCAGTGATGAGAGAGAATCATTTATTAGCTGCTTCCTGCACATCCCACACTGAGGATGGAGCCTGCAACCTGGGTATGTGCCCTGACCAGGAATTGAGCCATGACTTCCTGGTTCATAGGTCGTGTTCAACCACTGAGCCATGCTGACTGGGCTTCCATTGATATTTTAGAGAGAGTGGATGAGAAAGGAAAAGACAGAAACATTGAAGTGAGAAAAACACTGATTGGTTGCCTATTGCATGCACCCCAAATGGGGTCCGGACCAGGGAGCAGCTTGCAACCAAGATACATGTCCTTGACTGGAATCAATCGAGACCCAAACCAGCTAGAGTGAATACTTACTTCTTTTATGAGTTTTATATCGGTTTTTGTTTGTTTGCTTTTTTTTAAAATGTATTTTATTGATTTTTTTATAGAGAGGAAGGGAGAGAGATAGAGAGCTAGAAACATCGATGTGAGAGAAACATCGACCAGCTGCCTCTTGCACACCCCCCTACTGGGGATGTGCCCACAACCCAGGTACATGCCCTTGACCGGAATCGAACCTGGGACCTTTCAGTCCACAGTCCGACGCTCTACCCACTGAGCCAAACTGGTTTCGGCTTATATCGTTTTTGTTCTTCATTAGTTTGAGTCACTTGCAGAAGGGCCTTCCTTTAGTTCAGTCTCCATCTAGGGCAGGGCACCCTGGGTGCTTTTGTCTTACTCTGCGTGAATATTTTTATTTGCAAGAAGTGATGCCTCTCTGAGCAGCTGCTCCTGGTAGGTTTCTGTTTTGCTGTGATGAAGCCTGCTACTGTTAAATGTCTACCTACCATCCTCATTTGGCTGTCTGGGCTACACAGGACAATTCTGCTTCCTGTTCCGTATGCTAGTCCTTCAGCTATTTGAAACAGTGGCTGCAGCCCCCTAGGAAGACAGGTTTTCAGGGTGTGCATACATGTGCTGCTTTTGGTTTTTAGAAAGTACCACCTGGTTTGTAACTGTGAATCTATGTGAATTTTCAAATATTTATCCACTGTTTTTTTAGGGAGTGTTGTGAAGAGTGAAGACTTTTCTCTCCCGGCTTATGTTGATCGACGTGACTATCCCTTGCCCGATGTGGCCCACGTCAAGAATCTTTCTGCCAGCCAGAAGGCCTTGAAAGAGAAGGAGAAGAACCCCTGGAATAGTCTATCGATTGATGAAAAAGTTGAATGTAGGTATTGAAGGGAGGAAAGATACAATGTGTGAGAGATCATTTTTACTATGAGCACTGGAGTGCTGCCCAGAGACTAGCATACTCTGAGGCTTGGTGTGTGGTGGCTCTGTGGGCTGTTCCAGGGCCCAGTTTCTGTGGTCTGTTGACTGGGGACCTCTGCCCAGGCTCCTTTGTGCTTATGGGGCTCTTACCCTGGGGAGAAGCATGAACATGGATGCAGAACAATTAAGTTTGGGTCAGTTGAGTCTGTAGCATGTGGTTACAGCATCTCTGTGCTGGGTGTGACTGGGTTTACTATAAATTATTGACAATGTCAGCAAAACATCAAGGTAGGAAAGGGCAATGAAAATAATTAAATTGGCCCTTATACTGTATTCTATGGGAAATTTTCAGTTTTTTTTTCTTTTTTCTTTATTTTATTTTTTTAAATCAATCTTTATTGTTCATATTATTACAAAGGTTCCTCATTTCTTCCCCCCTCCACCAGGTTCCCACCCCACCCTCCGCCCCCTCTCCATCCCCCATTGTCCTCATCCATAGGTGCACAGTTTATGTTCAGTCTCTTCCTCCCTCCCTTTCCCCGATAGTAAATCCCTTTTCAGATATTAAATCTGTTACTTAGCATTTTCTCATATCAATAATACCACCACATGCCGAATGATACACTTCACACAAAAGACATTTCCAAATAGGTCAACCAGCTTCATCCAGGCCCCACCCAAGGCACTCACAGATCAACACCCCAGCGCTATACTAACTCAACACATCCAGATCTAAGCCATTATCACTTGATTCAGCATACCCTCAAGTTCCTGCAAAAGTTTCCAGCCATGTCTGAGAGGCAGCCGTGGGGCAGGGGCAGACGAGGAGCGAGCTGTTCCGGGCCTGGCTGCTCCGGGCCTGGCCTCTGTTGCTCTGGTCTGTTCCACAACCAGCTGCTCCGGGTCTGGTCACTGCCGCTCCTCACCTAGTTGCTCTGGACTTGGCTGTTGCTGCTCCGGGCCTGGCCGCAACCAACCCGGCTGCTCCGGGCCTGGCCGCTCCCAGCCTGGCAGCTGCTGCTCCGGGCCTGGACGCATCCGACCTGGCTGCTCCGGGCCTGGCCGCTTCCAGCCTGGCAGCTGCTGCTCCGGGCCTGGCCGCACAAGACCCGGCTGCTATGGGCCCGGCTGCTCCGGGCCTGGCCACTCCGGGCCTGGCCGCTCCCAGCCTGGCAGTCGCTCCAATCCTGGCTGCTCCCAGCCTGGCAACCGCTGCTCCGGGCCTGGCCGCACCAGATCCGGCTGCTCCGGGCCTGGCCGCTCCTGGCCTGGATGCTGTGGGCTTGGCTACTGCTGTTCTGGGCCTGGCTGCTCTCAACCCGGCTGCTCTGGGCCCGGCTTCTCCGGGTCTGGGTGTTCCTGGACTGGCCACCCTGGGCTTGACCGCCTTCGCCTCAGGCCTTGCTGCCACTGCCCCAGGTCTGGCTGTTCCAGTGCTGGCCGTTGATGCTCTGGTTCTGGCCGCTGCTGCTCCGGGCCCGGCTGCCACTGCCTTGTGCCTGGCCACTCTAGGCCTGGTAGCCGCTGTTCCAACATTCTGTCCCTTTTCTTTTTTTCTTTTTTTTTTAAAAACGCATTTATGTTGCAATGTTGGCTGGTGAGTTGAGTTCTGACTTAGTCTTTGATTTTTCAAGATCTTCTTTGTATTCTTTCTTAAGTAATTTTACTATCTTTTGCTCTCACTTGATTTCTTCACTTTGAGAACTTCTTTGGTTTCTTCCTCCTTGACCTGGAAGCTCAGCAGGTTGGCCTGTGGCACCCCTTTGTTTTTCGTGGGCTCCTGCGCTGCTTTAGCCTGTTGCTGGGGTCGGCGCTGCCCAGGAAGCAGCCCCCGGCCTTGGCACCGTTGCCTGCGCTCAGCGGTCGAAGGCTCAGGGGCACCCCCCCCCCCCCCCCCAAGGGGGCCCCGACTCCCTGCCAGCGCCCGGCTGGCCGGTGTCCGGCAGGGGCTCCTGCTCCCTGTTGCGTTCCTCCAGTCTGGAGCTTTCTTTCTCCCTTAGGCTAGTGGAGTCCAGGATCAGAGTCAACAGACTGTCCTCTGCGCGCAGTGTGCTCGGCCTTTCGCCGCTCTCCCAGGACTCCACCTCACAGCCCCGTCTCCCTCTGCTTGAGCTTGGGTCCCTAGGGATTGGCCCAGAGCCGGGGTTCAGAGCAGTCCGGACTGAGGCTCAGTGCCACCGGAGGCCCTGTTCCTTCCGGCTAGGGTAATCCGGCATCAGAGTCAACATTCAGTCCTCTGCGCACAATGTGCGCGCGACTCCAGGGGCCCCGCCTTTCGTTACTCCCCCGGGATTCCGCCTCACAGCCCCATCTCCCCCTGCCGGAGCCTGGGTCCCCAGGGTCTGGCCCATAACTGGGGCTCAGCGCTGCCGGTTTGGGGGTTCAGCCCAGGGTGGGGGTTCTATTTCCTTCCTGCTAGGGAACGCCAGGCAGCACCCAGCCCTCTCCTCCTCTCCGGCTGCGACCTCCTCGCGCGCGCGCGCGCGTGCGTGCGGGCACACAGCATGTCTCCATACCTTAGGCTTTTTTTCAGCTCCTCTGATTTTCCTTCTGGTTTTCTCCCTCCTTCCTATTGTAGAGTTTTCAGTCAGTCGACTACCTGTAGCTCTGGGCAATGTTCACTTTACATTTTAGTTGTATACCATTGAAATTGTTGTGTGCTGCTGCGGTTAGATGTCTACCCGAGCAGCCATCTTGGATCCTCCCCAGTTTTTTTTATTTTTTTTATTTCTCTAATTTTTATTATTTATTTTGCCCAAAGCAAACTTTGCGCATTTTTTAATCTCATTGACCCCTTATGTGCATGTGTGACAGCATGTGTGTGTGCATGCATGAGTGTATTATGGCCTCAGGCCTCTCTGTTGTATTTCTCAGCTCCATGTTCATCCCTCACTGTATTGCGGGGACAAATGGTGGAGCATTGTGGATAAGGGAGTGGTTGGTCTCCTTAGCTTGCTGGCTGTTCTTTATGTTTCCAGTGTATCGCATCAAGTTCAATGAGAGCTTTGCTGAAATGAACAGGAGCACGAATGAATGGAAGACAGTTGTGGGTGCGGCCATGTTTTTCATCGGCTTCACTGCTCTCATTCTGATGTGGGAGAAGCGCTTTGGTGAGTAGAGGAAACAAGGGGCCGTGTGCTGGAATGGTTCAGGTGAAAAGCCCCCAGCAACACAACAACTGCAGTTTGCCAGCTCAGTTCCCACGAGTGGGCTGGGGTGGGGGAGCCTTCACATAAGATAGGGCCCTCCATTCTAGGTTCTATCCCAGGACTGTTGGTCAGGTTTGTGAAACTGGCTTGTGTGAATTGAAGTTGTCCAAGCCAGAATCTCACTCAGGGTGAGCCATAGCTGCATGGTAGTGAACTGCTTTACTTTGTACAGTACACCACATTTTCATTAGATATTTGCTCACCAGTCAGTTATCAGGTGATGTAGTAAAGGTTTGATAAAAGAGAAGAAAACTTACTCATTGAAGGACGTTTAGCTGTTTAGGGACTTCATCTCAATAACTAGAATTCTGCATCAGAAGACCCAATAGTTTCTGCTCAGTGTTGGGGTTGTCTATTTATCCCAGAGCTGCCTCTTCTGTGTTCTGTAAGTCCAGGCAGAATAAGTATTTTCCCATTCTGAGTAGATAGTAATCTTGTACTTTTGGTTTGATTGTGAATATATCTTCGATCCTCTCCCAAGTCACCTTGGCTCTGTTTATGCTCGGTGCTGTTCTATAACTCCATTAGCTGTATCCTATGGAGAAGACATTATGATTTTAGCTTAAGTGTTTAATTGCTAACTTACAAACAAATAATTTGGAACTGTCAAGAGTTGTCGGTGCCCAGAATTGAAAACCAGTACATTTGCATAGGCAATGGTGTTGAGTGGCAGACAACTTCACTGACCTGCCTTCCCGTATGTTGTAACAGACCTAACCAGTATAGCACATTACTTCAGAAACAACTAGTTAAGATAGTGTTGTCTCATGAAGTTGTTTTGAACTGTAGTGTATGGCCCCATCCCGCACACCTTCGAAAAGGAATGGGTGGCCAAGCAGACCAAGAGGATGCTCGACATGAAGGTCAGCCCGATCCAGGGCTTCTCTGCCAAGTGGGACTACGACAAGAACGAGTGGAAGAAATAAGAACCTGCCATTCACGTATCTGACCCACACCTTGTTCTGTCATTTCCTTGCAGTTCTGCATATTCACTGGAAACTGCTAAGTTGCAGTCCCAATGCAAATAAACGAACAGTTTACTTGAAATCCTTGTGATTGATTTCTTGGTGATAACTAAATGAAAGTGTGTTATTTGTAACACAAGAGGCTTCTCCCAAGTGTCTGAAGTAATATATTTTGGGTGTAAATGAAACAGTAAAAGTACATTGTATACAGAGATCATGTAAAAACTAAAAATATAGTCATCTGATATGGGATGTTTTAATTTCGTTTCTGATGAGATTTTTATGAGTAAAATCCCCTAATAGTAGCCAGATGGACAGAGTCACAATGGCCACTTCCCTTTATATTTATCAATGTTGGCTGGGTGGGTGGACCATGCGCCTGGGAAGGGCAGGAAGTCTTGATGATAGACCCATTTCCCTTTGCCTACTTGTGGCTTGCTCAGTTCCCTGGCTGCTCAGCCTTTGATCCAAAAAGCTACATCAAAGCCAGTGCCAGGTAAAGCAGTGATTATCTTGACCCTTGGCAAGATCCCTATAGGGTTCTCATCCCTTTGTCCTGTTCTAACCCCAGTTCCCTTTGCTAGTCCCTGGAGACCCTGTATGGAGAAGCAGAATAAATCCTGGAACAAGCTACATAGGGAGAGCTGAAGAGAATCTGGTGCAAAGGGTCTCCCAGCAGTATCAATGTAGGAGTGAGGAGAGGGTGGGAGGTAGCCCTGGAGAAGCCCAGCTTTAAGTTGGATGGAAACTCTGTCCCTAGAACTTGCTTAAGGGAATGTCACATAAGGAGGGCCTTAGGTAGTTAACCAGTTCAAAGTTAAGAGCAGGTTAAATATAGCCTGTGATTGTAGCATCTTTTGGCTGCTTAAAAATGCCCTGATCCCTGGTTCTCAAAGGGCCAGCTGATTCCCTGGGAGGCTCTCCTGGCTGGTGGGGAAAAAAATGTCTGGGAGCATGCAGGTCTGGCTGTGAGATGGCTTTGCCTACAAATCTTGGACCTCCTTCTGAGTGATGCCATTTTCATTTTCAGTTCCTTTCCAAGGTGAGCTCCTCTGGGGGGCAGAGGTGCCCGACCTGGCCCATCACCTGCTCTGAAATGACAGGTGGTGTACCTACCCCGGGCCAGGCACTCCCAACACCACC